AAAAAAAAAAAAAATAAGTGTTACATCAGGAGCCCAGGTCATCTTTAACCCATCGAAGACCAAAAAGGTAACTAAATACTTAAGTTTCTTAGACCAGGGCTAGAAAGTAGATTAATTAAAAGAAGGGTAATTGTATTGTTACAGAGCACCTGCATTCAGTAGAACTTTCTGCTGTGCTGAAAATGTCTGTATCTGTACTATCAAGTGTGGTAGCCACTGGCAAAGTGCGCCTATTGAGCACTTGGAAGCAGTCCCTGAATTTTAACTAAAATTCAGATAACTGTATGGGATTAGAGACTGCAATATTAAATAGCATAGGTGTAGCAGAAGGGTATAGTAAAAAAAAGAGACAGGGAAAAGTTTCTTAAAAAGAGCTGAATGATCTTTAAGTTTGAGAAACTTAAAGGTTAGATGGATTAGATGGTTTGGAAAAGCCCATTCCAAGTGTGTGTGTGTTTGTGTGTGTGTGTATATATATATATAATGTCCCAGTGGAGAAAATTTGCAGGTCAAAGGGATTGACAACTGGGAGTGCCTTGAAAGACTTGCTCAGTGCTTTAAATCCATGCAAAACTAATAAATAATAAGAGTCATATTTGTGATTTAACTTAAAGATATATAATAATTCTCTTGCACAGTAAAAAAAATTTAATGGGGGCGCCTGGGTGGCTCATTTGGTTAAGCGTCTGCCTTTGGCTCAGGTCGTGATCTTGAGGTCCTGGGATCGAACCCTGCATCTGGCTCCCTGCTCAGCGGGGAGCCTGCTTCTCCCTCTCTCCTGCTCCCCCTGCTTGCTCTCTCTTTCTCTCTCTCTGAAGTAAATAAATAAAAATCTTTAAAAAAAAATTTAATGTAATGACCCTCAAACATCTGTGTGCCTTATGATACCATAGAAGATAAGGTGTTGGGGGAAAAAAGGAGTGTCAATGCATAAGCAAACCATGGAGAAAAACTAGGCTTAGAGGGTGGTAGCCTTGATTCAGAGATCACTCACCCATTTTGAATTAAGATATTTTATACAACTTTATGATAACTTGAAGTGGTAATGCTGAGCAACAAATCCAAGATGTTAGTAGCAAGATACCACAGATTATATAATAAATACTATGAAGAAAAAAAGTGATGTGGTAGAGAGTAAGTGAAGCTTTATATAAAGTCAGGGAAAGCCTCTTGGAGGGGATGAGTGACCTGATGCTTGAAGGATTTGGCTGGCAGAAGCTGAGGAAGAGTTTTTTGGCAGAAAGAACGCCAAGCAAAAGCCCTAAGGTGGGAAAAACTTTGTCTTCAAGGTACAGAATGGCAGTCAGTATAGTCGATGCTTTGGAAATGGGGGCAGTGGTAGTATGTGTTTTGAGTTATTGGAAGGATAGACAGCATATTGATTATAGGGCTTTTGGGCCATGGAAAGGAATTTGAATTTTATTCAAAAGGTAATTAGAAGCCATTGATTGGCTTTAAGCAGGGTAAGACATAATTTGACATTTTATTTATTTATTTAAAGATTTTATTTATTTGACAGACAGAGAGGGAACACAAGTGGGGGGGTGGGAGGGGGAGAAGCAGGCTTCCCGCCGAGCAGGGAGCCCGATGTGGGGCTTGATCCCGGGACCCTGGGATCGTGACCGGAGCCGAAGGCAGAGGCTTAACGACTGAGCCAGCCAGGCGCCCCTAATTTGACATTTAAAAAAGATCATACACAGGCCGATGCGACACCTGTAATTGATACTTGTTTCATCAACTTACGTTTTTACCTTTTGGAAGTGTTTTTACATAGTATTTGTTTAATCTTAGTTTCATTGCTCAAAATTTTCTTTCTTTTTTTGGAGAGGGGGAGATAGAGAGAGGGAGGGTTTGGGAGGGGGAGAGAGAGAATGTTACGCAGGCTCCATGTCCAGCGCAGAGCCTGATGCAGGTCTCATCACACAACCCTGAGCTGAAATAGAGTTGGATGCTTAACTGACTGGGCCACCCAGGCACCCCAGTGCTCAAAGTTTTCTTAAATCTCATAAATGGAAATGAAAGTTATAGCTGGTTTTCCCTTGAAATGTCTTCTCATTAGTTCTGCAAAGTCTTCTGTTTTCAAATTTTGAGATACTCTATCTTTCCTAGTTTAAGTTCACATTAAAAACATACTCCTTAATGCTTGAACTAAAAACTGAATTTCGTAATGTTATAAAAGATCATTCAAAGGTTTTGTCCTTTTCCCATCAAAGTATAGGTGAGTTCAGCTTTTCAGTTTTCTTTTCTTAGGTAAACTTTGTCCCGGTTTCAGTTTTAGTCTGTGCATAGTAGTACCTTGCTTTTTACCACTTGGTAGCTGAGTAGCTTTGGGAAAATTATTTAATTTCTGTAAGTCTTCTTTATCTGTGAAATTGGCATAATACTCATACAGCAACTTTATAGGACATAACTGCTGTGAATAACTTCTGAGAATTGACTGTTCATTTTTAGTTTCAAGTTTGAAAGTAGTTAAAATACCCAGATAGTTAAGAATTATGTTGTATTTCTAATTACACACAGAACTACTGTGACCTCCTTCTCAATAATTCAGACATACACATTGCTTAAAGTTGGGACTCCCTAATCACCTTCCATTCTTGTTGAGTTGATCATTTTCTTTTTAAGGTTAAAGAACAGTAATCTTTGATACTAACAGAAAATATGTGTTCTTTCTTTTTTTTTTTTAATTTATAGTTGGGTGTTTCCCTTAGCAGTTTGGGAGCCATACCAGCAGCAGCACTAGACCCCAACATTGCAACACTTGGAGAAATACCACAGCCACCACTTATGGGAAATGTGGATCCTTCCAAAATTGATGAAATTAGGAGAACAGTCTATGTTGGCAATTTGAATTCCCAGGTAACTAATTTAAGAAAAAACTGAGTGGTAGGATCTCTTACTCTTTCCCCCTTCTTCAAAGTCATATCGATTGATAAAGTAATATTTACCTAATTTTTAAAAAAAGAATTACTTTATTAAAGTGTGACTTTGTTTCTTCAGACAACGACAGCTGATCAGCTACTTGAATTTTTTAAACAAGTTGGAGAAGTGAAGTTTGTGCGGATGGCAGGTGATGAGACTCAGCCAACTCGGTTTGCTTTTGTGGAATTTGCAGACCAAAATTCTGTACCAAGGGCCCTTGCTTTTAATGGAGTTATGTTTGGAGACAGGCCACTGAAGTAAGAAACCGTAAACAAAGAAATTTTAATGATAATGGAAAAACTTAAAGTATTTCTGATGTAATTAAGGCTTTTTTTTTCTTTTTAATAGTAATTGGCAATTTGTGGAAAGGAAGACTTTGTGTTAAGTATAAATGAAATACATGAGTTACCATTTTAGCCTTTAAAGTTGTATTTGAAAACATATTTTCTATTTTATAAGATCTAATTTGATATTAACATTATTTATATACCCTATATAATAATTATAGGTCTTTTCCCATAAGCTCTAATAAAGCAGATTGGGTTTGCATTATGACTAGACTAATGGATGATTGAACATACGAGATGAACTTAGAGTAATACTGTAATAAGAATTTTGATAAATCCAAAATCCCAAGAGGAAAATAATATTAAGTACCCAGAAGTGTTTTAAATCAATCATTTTGAGTTTTAATATTTTTTCATATCGTATTTTGCAAAATGAAAAATTGGTATAGACTTTACATTCTCAAGACCAGAAAATCTATTTCTTGCAGATTATTGAGGCAGCAGTTTTATCTAAATTTCATAGGTAATTGCCTTAGTTATACAGCTTGATCAGGATTCAGCTGTGAAAGGATAAAATTTCTTTTTAGTGAATGCTTGTCTTCTCAGTGTGAAGGGGGTAAAGTGAGACTCACCAGATTCATTTATGTGCATCAGAGAAACCACTTCTGACCTAGTAGGGAAGAGTTTTATCAGGTGCCTCCCACATTCAAAGCTGTATCTGACTCACACATGGTCCAAGATTGATTAAAATTGTGCACATATTTAGCCTCTCCTGCATCCTCCCAGCGTGCAGAGATACCAACAAAATCTTATAATCCAAGATGAGAAATGATGTATTTTAATATTGGTGTCAGCATTTAATTTATTATAATTCTAAGTTGTGTGGAAAAGCAATTGTCCTAGTATATTCAAGTTGTTAAGGAGTCAGCTAGGGTTCAGTTTTTCTTTCTTTTTTCCTTGCTTTTGGCTCTGTTAGCAAGACGTAAAGATGAGTGATGAGATTAATCATGGTTTTGATGTTGGTTTTGATTATTCTGTATTTAGCTGTATCATTCTTAATGTGCTTTCGAGATGTCCTCCGGTTTATAAATATGTGTATCATAAACATTTGTTTCATATTTTGTAAAATATGGTGTGTATTTGTGATATGCTAATATTTTTAATTTAGAATTAATCACTCCAACAATGCAATAGTAAAACCCCCTGAGATGACACCTCAGGCTGCAGCTAAGGAGTTAGAAGAAGTAATGAAGCGAGTACGAGAGGCTCAGTCCTTTATCTCAGCAGCCATTGAACCAGGTAAGGCCACGGTGTTGTTACATAGGTTGCAGTTTAAGATCATAGAACCATAGAACTGGAAGGAATTTTAGAAATTATCTTGTTTAGTCCCTCCATGTTACAAACAAGAAGACTGAAACTCGAGAAAGAGTAAGTGACTTACTAGTGTCAAAGGTCAAAGAACTGGTTAGCACAAATGTGTTTTCCTATGATACTGAATTGAGGCACATTAGCTTGAGTTAATCAGATCTGTATGTTTTTGTAGCAGAGTCAGTGCTCATAAGTGATTGGCTTAAAGCAAAGTGTAAATGTTATTATGAGGCTAAAAGTAAGAATAAATATAATTAAAAGGTTATAATCAAGCAGGTTCACTTTCCTTCACAGTTCTCATTTTAAAAATAGGAAAGAGAGCCCATGATTGGCAAAATACAAAGACTGTTTTAGCAAGGTAAAGGAACACCTATTCAGACTTTCATGTTGCTTACGGAAAGTTAAAAATCCAATCTAAAAATGTCTAGGTGGTTTACAGTTGAGCAAATTTTCTACATTAGCACTCAGAATTTAAGCTTCACTGCTAGCAAAATAAATGGAGAGAAGATTTAAAATCACTGTCATAGGAATTACAGACATGTTATAATCGTACATTATGGCAGCAACAAAATATTACGAACAGCTGTTTATAATCATCTGGTTTATATGTACTGCTGCAGGGTGGCTGCACTCAACGAGTTTATGCAATGACTTTCTTGGATGTTTCTGAAGGATAATTGCACAGGAGGAGGATGTACAGAGAGTAGGCCCCTTGCACTATATGTGGTACATTCCACTTGTGCCTGATTATTAACTGGGATCTTTAATTGTTCTGAGCTTACACTGCAAAGTGGTTTTTTCCTCCCAGAGTCTGGAAAGAGCAATGAAAGAAAAGGCGGTCGATCTCGTTCCCACACTCGTTCAAAATCCAGGTCTAGCTCAAAATCCCATTCTAGACGAAAAAGATCACAGTCAAAACACAGGTGAGAATTTCTGCTATCATATTTAAAATTTTTTTGGTCTAGTATTTAAAATAGTTAAGATTTTCTGAGTTTTTGTTTATGTATCAGAATTTAGAAATTTCAGTGGAGTTCACCAGGAATTATGCTTATCATTAAATGTTGCTTTAATTATAATACTGTAGTTAAGAATGAAATTTTATCTAATTGATATATAATTTTTATTATCTCAATTTTCTGTTTTAGAAGTTGGTTTTCTCTTAAGGTGCTCTATTCCTGATTCTTCTAAGAATAAACTATTCTTTATATAGGACTGGCAGAAACTTTTCATTCTTTTTCTTGAGAAAAGGGAATATATATGTATGGTGATGCTGAAATATTGTTGTAATGGCTCTGTGCACCTCC